CCCCCTGTCCCTCTCCCGTCGCCAGGTGCCCCTGGTGGGCCCCTCCGCCGCCCCCCCCACGGAGGTCCCACTCGGGCTGGGCGGCCTGTCGGGATTTCGTGTCCCCGCATCACAACGGGGGTGATCGCCCCCTGACGCGGCTGCCCCCTGGTGCCTTCCTCAGCCACGCTGGCGATGTTCATCCCCGCCAGTCTGGCTACTGCCACACTCAGTGCGGCGCCTCATCACGCTATGACAGGCGTGTGACATGGGCCGGGCCCACAGGGCTCTCCACAGGGCCGGCCCTTGTCCGTGCTGGGGAATGGTGGGTCCCGGGAGTCTCGCGGTCGCCTCGGAGTGGTTCAGCCTTCTGTCTCACGCAGAGCTCCATGCTGGCTCCGTCCCAGCCGTTCAGGCAGGTCTACGCCGTCATCTCGGTTCTTGCTCAGCTCACCTGGCTGGTATACGCCGTTGGCACGGTCTTGGCCCGTGGCGCCCAGCTGGCGATTCGACCATCGTTTACCTCGCCTTCGCGACCACCAGGCGTGAGAGGGGTGTGTACATGAAGCTCACCTACGTTCTCGCCTTCACCGAGTGGTCCACGCCGCAGGGCGTATTCCGAATTCCCTAGCATTTCGCTCTGGGCTGCACGATGCTCGAGCTTCCCTGGGCGCCCGTCAGCCAGTCAGCCCTCACTTTGCTGCCCCGGCGGCCGCCTCGTGAGCTGGCCCGGCCGGCCTTTTCTGCGCCCTGCAGCTAATTAGGTTTGTTTCCGTGCCCCAGACAGCTTTTGTTGCCGCCTGCGCTCTTCGCTCGCGGCCGCGACCGAAAAAAGTATCCCCACCAACCCTGGTGTACTGAGATCACAAAGCTCTGAGCAGCCGTTAGCTGCGCTCCGACGGGGCACCGCACTGGCGGCGAGGGATCCGCGTGAGCTCCTGGCCAGCAGCCGCATCCCTGGATGCAGGTTCCGCTGGCCCCTGGCGGGGAGGGGTCCGCGAGAGCTCCAGGTACTCTTGCATCCCGATGCCCCCGCCCTCCTCACGGCTCCGGATGTGATGGCAGACGACCCCCGCTGCACCCCTGACTGCTGCTCTGGAGTGGAACCGGCCCAGCCGTCCCTCCCTCCCGACAGGAAGCAGGCACGGGCAGGGTCCAGAGCTGGTCCCAGGTTTGTCGCGCCGCTGGCGCCTGGTGGGAACCAGTCTGACCCTGGCGGCAGGGCGGCCGCGTAGCAAGAGAAGGGCAGCTCCGTGACGTTGGGCTTGCGCACTCTGGGATGGAGAGGCGTGACAGCCTTCGGGAGGTTGCCCACCCTCGCTGTAGCAGATGCGGCCCCCTGGACTTTTACCATCAGTGAGCAGCCGTTAGCTGCATACCTGGTAACCTCGGCACGCTTGCAGGTACTGCGATGCCTGTAATGCAGACAGGCCGACAACACCGGGAACAATTCAGCGTTTTACCGAAACCTAAGCAGCCGTTAGCTGCATCCCTGGATTTAGGGCCCGGGCTTCGGCCCTCCCCCTGTCCCTCTCCCGTCGCCAGGTGCCCCTGGTGGGCCCCTCCGCGTGGATGGCTGGTGATGTCTGTCCCCACCGCCCCCCCACAGAGGTCCCATTCGGTCTGGGCGGCCTGTCGGGATTTCGCGTTCCCGCATCACAGCGGGGGTGATCGTCCCCTGACGCGGCTGCCCCCTGGTGCCTTCTTCAGCCACGCTGGCGATGTTCATCCCCGCCACTCTGGCTACTGCCACACTCAGTGCGGCGCCTCACCACGCTATGACAGGCGTGTGACATGGGCCGGGCCCACAGGGCTCTCCACAGGGCCAGCCCTTGTCCGTGCTCGGGAAATGGTGGGCCCTGGGAGTCTCGCGGTCGCCTCGGAGTGGTTCAGCCTTCCGTCTCACGCAGAGCTCCATGCTGGCTCCGTCCCAGCCGTTCAGGTAGGTCTACGCCGTCATCTCGGTTCTTGCTCAGCTCACCTGGCTGGTATACGCCGTTGGCACGGTCTTGGCCCGTGGCGCCCAGCTGGCGAGTCGACCATCGTTCACCTCGCCTTCGCGACCACCAGGCGTGAGAGGGGTGTGTACATGAAGCTCACCCACGTTCTCGCCTTCACCGAGTGGTCCACGCCGCAGGGCGTATTCCGAATTCCCTGGCATTTTGCTGTGGGCTGCACGATGCTCGAGCTTCCCTGGGCGCCCGTCAGCCAGTCAGCCCTCACTTTGCTGCCCCGGCGGCCGCCTCGGGAGCTGGCCCTGCCGGCCTGTTCTGTGCCCTGCAGCTAATTAGGTCTGTTTCCGTGCCCCAGACAGCTTCTGTTGTTGCCGGTTGCGCTCCTCGCTCGCGGCCGCGACCGAAAAAATATCCCCACCAACCCATCCATAATTGATTGCCAGTTTTCTAAAGGCCTCTTGGAGGCTATCTTGAACCATGCTCGGTCAGAGGCTTTCGGAGGCTATCTTGAGCCGTGCTCGGCTATCTTGGGCCATCTTGAGGCATCCTTGAGGCCCTCTTGGAGGTCCGCCGGAGGCTATCTTGAGCCATGCTTGTCTATGTTAGGCCATAGGCGGTACTGCCAAACACATTGGTTTTCTTAGGCTTTTGAAGGGCTTTGGCATCTTGGAGGGCGCCGTGGAGGGCTTGGAGGGCATTTTGATCCGTCTTGGGGCTGTCTTGGGGCCTCTTGGGGGTATGTCGGAGGGTATCTTGACCCATCTTGAAGGAGCAGGGGCCATCTTGGGTGCCATCTTGCGACTTTGAAGCCCTCTTGGAGCCTTCTTGGCCATCTTGGACGCTGCGGCGCCTCCGTCCCCCCCCCCTCCCAGGCCCAGGGGAGGGGGTAGGGGGAGGGGTAGAGAGAAGAACAAAACGCGCTATACCACCTAAGCCCAGAGGGCTGGTGGGATTATGCTTATGCCGTTTTATATGTGCGCATTCTGAACCATCGATTCCAGTGTCTTGGCATCGCTCGGACTTGTTCATTTTTTTCTCGGGGAGGACCATCGAGGAGCATCCTAGAGCATCTTGCAAACAAAGCACGCGGGACACCGACAAATGTACGGGGAATGGACGTCCGAGCGATGGCGAGGTGTTCTGAGGGTCCGATGCGGCCCCTGGTGCTTGCACGGCGCGGTTGTGCATCCTGTCGCGGTCGATCCGATCCGAGTTCGATTCCGTGTCGATGCAGCCCGACCGCGACGACGACGGCGACGAGGACGACGTTGACGACCACGACGACGACGACGACGACGACGGCAACGACGAGCGGATGGCCCTGCCGCAGGCTCGGGTCATGGGGCGGGCGGTGGAGGGAGGAGGAGGATGAGGAGGAGGAAAGAGGAGGAGCATTAAGATGAGGAGGAGAAGGAGGAGGAGGAGGAGTAGGAGGAACAGTGTAAGCCCAATATTCAGCAACGATATTGCAATACAATACACCCTACCTCGAAGTTCACTTTTCGTCGGTGCCTAGAAGGGCTTACTTTCACTGAAGGAAGTGCCCCGTTGAACAACAACCGTGTGGAAATTCTGAACTGTGCCAGTGTACCATTCCTGTGACCTCCACACCACGAGTCATCGTCACTTTTGCGTTTTGGCGATCTGAATCGTTTCAGAACGCAGATCCTGAGGCTTCCACACCACGAGTCAACATATTCGTTTCGCCCTGATCGTCTGACATTGTGCCAAGCCGTAATTTCTGAAACGTTCAACATGCGAATCCTTGAAGCTGTTGTAGCCTTTCAAGACGAATAGGCTCGGCGCCCAGGCGGGATTCACATTCAAGGAATCGCCTTCCATTCGTGAAACTCTTGCAGATCTTTAAGTCGTATGTGCGCGGCGCTAAGGCGACAACCACATTTTGAAAACGACCCGTCCTCCATCCGTGAAACGGTTGCACATTTTTATGACGAGTGCGCGCGGCGTTAAGGCGAGAGTCGCATTGTGAAAGTCACCTGCCCTCCATCCGTGAAGCTCTTGCAGTTTTTAAAACGGGTGTGCGCGGCGCTACGGCAAGAGCTACGTGAAATGGTTGCAAATGTAAGCCTTAGAATCATTAATGTTGAGGGAGTCTCAGGCGAAACGCTTGGCTCGTTTTTTTGACAGGTCTCAGGGTGCGACAGGGAGGATTTTTTTATAAGAGAATGGAGGAGGAGAAGGAGGAGGAGAAGGAGGAGGAGGAGAAGGAGGAGGAGAAGGAAGAGGAGGAGGAGGATGAGGAGGAGGAAGAGGACAAGGACGAGGACGAGGACGAGGAGGAGGAGGAGGAGGAGGCCGGAGCCAGGGCCAGGGCGGGGCTGGGGCCGGGGCCGTGGCCCGGGTCTGGTGCTGGGGGCTGGTGCCACCTGGGACCCCCCCCCACCGGCGGGGAAGGAAGAAGGGAAGGGGCTTCCTTTCGACGTAACTATGACATTGTTCGATCCCCCTTGTTTGTCCGATCTCCCTCACGATGGCTATTCAAAGGAGACTGGTGTACTCCAGCTTGGGTTGGGCGGGCCTCGCGGCGAAGGGCCTCATCACACACGCCGACCGGATTGGTGGATTTCTTTGTGTGTTACAGATGGTATTGCCGCTGTGCAGTTTGCCTGAAGTGCAGTGCCAGTGCATCCCAAGGTCAAGTTCGAGGATTGGCCAAGAAATACAGGCCGCCCACCGAACATCGAAGCTGAATGGCTTTGTGGATATGTGAAGGTAGACATCCGAAGAGAGAGAGAGAGAGAGAGAGATGGACAGAGAGAGAGAGAGAGAGACAGAGAGAGAACGAGAGAGATGGCTCCACCATTGATGTGGTTCGGTGGGCGTTGTTTTATCTCATTCGTCCTCGGGCCCTTGCCAAAGACAGCCAGAATTTCATCCCTCGAACATTTGACTTGAAAAGTGTTCATGCGAATTGTGCGTTGCGAGTTGTGCAACGCGGGCGCTGTCAGGATACGCTGTAGATCGAGGGCGACGTTTCTAGGCACACAGTCTGCTCCTCCCTCGCCCTCCGTTTTCTCTTCCTCCTTAGGCAGGGCAAGGGGACAGGGTGCCTCAATGCTCAACCCTATGCACGTGGAGAAGGTTCTGGTCTGTGACGGCGAGTTGTTTCTGCCTGCGAGAGCGTCCGCGTCCTCACTGCCGCCGATGCCAGCTGGCTAGGACTTTTTTTCAGTTTCTAGCACTTGTACAGTCTGTAGAGCAGCTGTGCAGTCCGTCGCGAGCAGTTGGACCTGGTGGTGTATTGCCCACGTGACGCAAGGAGCGCCGTGCAGACGATAGCGGCGACGACCACGGACTACGACCATCACGGCGCCGGCGATGGTGACGGTGGTAGCTAGGATGTCGGAGGACGCAAGCTACCCTTGGCCCACCAAGGAGGTGTGCGCCCCGTGTGACCCTGCGGGGGAGGCGTGCAGCATGCGCACCGACCCGGGGGTCCTCCTGCTTCTCCTTCTCGATTCTCGAGGCTCGCGGACTGAGGTTCTGGATGTTTCTTCGATTGCTTGCAGGACTCCAGAGGCTTCCAATTGGATGCCTCCGGAGTCCTTCAAGCCCGAATGGCCTCTGGAAGCCTTGGGGTCGAAAGGCTTCAGAGGCCATTCGGGCTTCTCTTGGCAGTACCGAGGTCATGCTGGAGCGATGCTGGAGCGGCCTTTGGCAGTACCGAGGTCACCCTGGCGCTGTTTCGGAGCCACCCCGGGAGGCCTCCAGGGCCGCAGGAAGGCCGTTTGATGCCTGCTTGAGGCAGCTTTTGGTCATCCGCGGTGGTGAACCCAAACGCGCACAAGCTCATGCGCATTGTTCCATACCCTCCTTTGTTTGAGTCGTTTGGGTAGTCGTCAGGGCATCGACATCTTGCGCTTGTGTCCAAGGCCTGTCTTGGGACCCGGGTTGCGGCCTGGGAGTATCCATGGCGCCATCCACTTTCCGTGCTAGGACCGATGCCTCTTGCGTTGAGATGTGTTCATAGAGACTAGGCTCGGCTTTGACAACGACGCAGGGTTGTGCGAGCGAATGTGTGTATGCGGGTGTCGTACGTGTAAGCACGCATGCTCCAAGCGCGTGTGCCCGTCTCTTCATACACGTAGTGGGCCATTTGCCATTGGGCCAATTTTGCTGGCTAGAGGGTAGCCGGGCCTGCAACAGAAATTCGCACCTTCGTTTGCCCCGAGCGAAGACATGTGCGCGTGAAATTTTGAAGCCTCGGGTGGTATTAGGTTGCCGCACTCACTGCGGCCTCAAACAATGATGCTGTGCTGAGCAGCAGCGTAGGCGAGTTGGGGAGGGCAATGGGTGATAAGGAGGATGATGATGAGGATGATGAGGAGCAGGAGGAAACAGCGGTAGGATAGAGTGCGGCGGAGGATGACTGGGAGGAGGATGGGTGGAGGGTGAGGGGTACGGGGAGGAGTAGGGTGAGGAAGAGGGGAGAGGTAGGGACGATCGACAGGAAGCGGAGGAGGAGGAAGATGAGGAGGAGGAGGAGGAGGAGGAATAGGAGGAGGAGGATGAGGAGGAGGAGGAGAAGGATGAGCACGAGGAGGATGAGGAAGAGGAGGAGGAGATGGAGGATGGGTGTGAGGATGACGAGGGAGAGGTTTGGGAGGATCAGGAGGAGGAGGAGGAGGAGGAAGAGGAGGAGTTGGATCATCTGGTTTGAAGCCGATTCGTGTGAGCATTACTCTGTCGTCCACCTGAAGCACGGTGGCCGCGAGCGCCGATCGTGAAAGAACTTCTCGACGGATCGGGCAGTCGTTTCGGAAGTGCCTAAGACCGTGGAAAATCCGTCACCTTGCCAGCGAAGCACTCTGTGTGGTGACCCTTTGAGCACTGCCCTGACAGCCGTCACATGCGACATCTCGTCTTCTCTTCTTGACTAGCTCAGACGGGGACCGCGTTTGCCGTCTTGGGGCGCTGCCTTGGGCTCCCCTGAGATCCGACTTCGCGAAACAATGAGACATCGTTAAACATCACGACGGGGGCTCTAGACCCCATCTTTCTGACGCGTTTCTCGAGCCAGATCGATCCGTTAGTGCTCGAGGGCCCGAGACGTGGCAAGGAGGGAGGAAGGGAGGAAGCGGGAGGGAGGAGGAGGGAGGAGTAGGGACGGGGAGGGAGGAGGAGGAGGGAGGAGGAGGGAGGCGGGAGGAGGGAGGAGGAGCGAGGAGGAGGAGGGAGACGGATGAGGAGGAGGGGGGAGGACAAGCTAGGTGCGCTCGCGCCATATATGATATCCTATCCCTCCCTCCCATCCCTTACCATGGCGTAGATCCCCTCTCTACTCGCACAGTCGGATGTTGAACAGTGCAATGATCCCGAAAGGGTACGCGATGCATTGTAGAGCACGGCAAAGCGTAGTATGTCACAGCATGGCGTGGCGTGGCGTGGCGTAGTGAAGACTTGCATCACAACGCTTTGCAACGCAAAGCGTGGCATCGCACAGCGGCCCCGAACATAACATTGCATAGCATGGCGTTGAAGATCAAAGCGTAGCATGGCATATCATGACGTGGCACTTACGCACTGGATATGGCAGCTACAGCTGAAGGCATGGCATCGCGCAGCGGAACGCAACCTAGTATTGCATTGCATGCCGTGGCATGGCACGGGAAATGACGCTAGCGCTGCAGCGGGAGCACGATTCGGAACGAGCGGAAGCGCGGAAATGAGGCCAGCGCTGCAGCGGGAGCACGATTCGGAACGAGCGGCAGCACTGACATGAGGCCAGCGCTGCAGCGGGAGCACGATTGGAACGAGCGGAAGCCCGACAATGAAGCCCGCGCCTCAGCGAGAGCATCATTTTGAACAAAAAAACAAGCCAAAACCCAACTCCGGGAAATCTTGTGTGTAAAAAACAATACGCGGAGGGGTGCCCGTTATCTTCCGCACGCCATCAGGGGATGTGGGAGAGTAGTATTCATACTGTGTAATTGTAAAGGGAGGAGGGAGGAGGGATGAGGAGGGAGAAGAAAGAGGAGGGAGGAGAGAGGGGTGATGAGGAGGAGGGAGGAGGAGGGAGGAGGATGGAAGAGGAAGGCGGATGAAGGAGGAGGGGAGGGAGGAGGGATGATTTGGGTGGAGGGAAGAGGAGTGTGGAGGGATGGAGAAGGAGGGAGGAGGAGGGAGGAGGAGGAGGAGGACGTAGGGAATAGGAGGGAGGAGGTAGGAGGGGGGAATCAGGGAATCATAACAGTTGCGAAGCAACATCATAAAGACCTCACCTCGAGCCTGTAGCTTTCGGCGGGAGTCCTCGAAAGAACCGATCGATCTAATCCCGACGTGTGCGAGTCATCAGATCGGGGAGACATTGATTTGCAAGAGATCGAAGCTGGTCCTTGCCGCTGGCCCCACAATCCTTGCAACTCCAAGCGCGCACAGCCTTGTAATATACCATAGCGTGAGACCCATGGAACTATCCACCGCCGACGTGGACCCCACACCCCGAAGGAGGAGGTGACAGCGCATCATTGCTAGGATATGGGGTCTCGCATCTAGATGATTTAAGCCACTCGGCTTTGGCGGCCTTGGATGATGACGAGAAGCAGCGAGAATACCGCGCGCCTGTGCCGTCCAGGCAGTGGTCGGTGCTGAAGACTGCAGCTGCTGCGGCCGAGGGCGGCCGCTGGGGGTGAGGAGGAGGAGCAGGGGGAGGTGCAGCACTAGCGTCGACAACAGCGTTGCCACGCAAAACAATAATCGATACACCCTGCCTGCAGCCTTCATCTGCTTCAAGGTGTGACGGTATCAAGCATACTGTAATGAACGTAGGATCTCTGGCCTCGAGGGGCTTTCCGATGTCTCTCCAGATGGGCCCAAGAGCTACCTGAGGATCACGATACGCTTTAGCATGCCATCCCTCATGCACTGCACGGTTATCAGTAACGTAGACAAGTACACCAGTACTATATCTGATCGCAACCTCAAAGCGCCTGAGCCCATCTCTGGGGACTGACTGGAGATCTCCTGCAAGAGGTCCAGCAATAGAGCGCCCGATAACTAGAGGGTCGAAGCGCCTGATGGTGACCACTGAGAGCCTCACACGCCGGAGCTGCTCATCCCTAGACTTGCCCCCCCCCCCGGGGCATCCCCAAACACTGGGAGAGGGGCGCCTGAAGAGCCAGAGCCACGGCACCCAGGACCGATGGCACCCTCAGAGTTCCCAGGGAGGCTGCAATCCTGGACCCGAGGAGGCGGACCAGCCGAGGTCATCACCCTCGGAATGACGCCTCTGTACCAAGCACATGGAGTAGCATCGCCCTGTGCTAGGGCTTGTCCGACCAACTGGTCGGTGTCGCTGAAAACTGGATGGTTGTCGTTGCACTTGCACAACCAGTATCTGTGGCGAGGCATCTCAGGAAACTCACGATAGCGGGGGCACGTGTCATCCTCCACCAATCCTGCTTCCTTCTTCCTCGGCAGTGTCCAAGACCCTCCCACTGCGATGTTCAAAAACACTTCAGCAAGCTGCCTCCCTTTGTGGGCCGTTTGAAGCTGCGCAAGCAAGGCACGGAGGGATCGGTTGTCGGTACCGTCCTCAAATCTTCCTCCACGAAAATGTTGGGCTGCCTCCTTCCACAAGAGGCTGCTGTTGGCAAAGCTGAAATCTCTGACCAAGTCCTGGGCCCGATCGATCAGCTCGAGTGAATTGTTCAACAAAAACCCAATCGAAATCGCACCTGCCGTTGGCCTCGGGAACAGTCCAGGAATCGGGGGAGGGAGGGAGGGAGGGCGGGCAGGCGGGCGGGCGGGAGGGACGAGGAGGGAGGGAGGGAGGAGGAGGGAGGAGGAGGGATCAGGGATCAGGCCGAGGCGCAACACCCGATTCGGATGAGGGCTGGCAAGCAAGGGAACATTGGAGAGTGCTGGATTCCCGCCGTCACGGTCCAACAACCCCCCGCACAGGCCGAGGACCGCTAAGGCCCCAGCAGAGCTAGCAGACAGCGCGACGGCACCAGCCGCTGCCTGCTACCCTCGCTGTGGCCCTAGCGGACCTCGCGACCAGCGAGATCAGCTTCAATGCGCCAAGACTGCACCGACGCCCTCTCAGCTTGGCCTCGGCAGTCCGCAAGGAGGCGGCGCCAGACAGGGGCCCCAATGAAGCTACGGGCGGCGCAGCGGCGGCACATCAAAAAATTGCCGGTGGTCTGCACAAGATGGCCACGGTACTCAAAGGCCTCGAGGGCCTGCACATGCAGACCGCCATATGTGAGGCCTAATGCTCGACACGCACGTAGAACCGCATCATTGCGCGCCCTAGGAAGGATACCATTGTGACGCTCGGCCCTGACGGCAGAGAGGAACAGATGGAGCTGGGTCGGTTCGCATTTCGCACCAGGCTGCTCCAACTTGGACCGCGAGAGCACAGTCTTGCCAGTACAATAGCACCACGTACACCTCCCCCCCTCTGCCACCTCGAGGTCGTGGGAGGGTGGAGGGAGGGAGGAGGGAGAAGGGAGGAGGAGGGGGGAGGAGGGAAGAGGGATGATGATGATGATGATGATGATGATGATGATGATGATGATGATGATGATGATGAGATGATGATGATGATGATGATGATGATGATGATGATGATGATGATGATGATGATGATGCTGCTGCTGCTGCTGCTGCTGCTGATGATGATGATGATGATGATGATGATGATGATGATGATGAGGAGGAGGAGGAGGAGGAGGAGGAGGAGGAGGAGGAGGAGGAGGAGGAGGAGACCCAAGAGTCACTAGCGATTTCGGAATCAACCCTCCCTTCAAGCTCCTCTTCATGGGCCTCTACAAGGGTTCATTTTGAGTGAGGGACCTGCCTCGTTGGAAGACAACCGTTTGAAGACCCTGAAGCATGCCCAAACACCGTTCTCGGGATTCCAATGCCACGGATCAACCTGACTGCTGCGTCTTGGCGATCCCGAGCCGTGCCAAAACGCCATTTCTGGGACTACATCACCGCGAATCAACATAATTGGCGTACCCTCATAAGTCTGAATTTTTCCACAACACCATTTCTGGTACATTGACCATGGGAACCCGTGACACTCTTGCAGTTTTTTAAGACGAATGTGCGCGGTGCTCAGGCGAGAGCCACATTTTGAAAAGGATCCGCCCTCAAACCGTGAAGCTCTTGCAATTCTTTAAGACGAATGTGCGCGGCTCTGAGGCGAAAGCCACACTTTGAAACCAACCCGTCCTCAATCAGTGAAACTCTTGGCAAAGTTTTAAGACGAATGTGCGCGGCGCTGAGGCGAGAGCCACACCTTGAAAACCACTCGCCCTCAATCCGTGAATCTCTTGCACATGTTTGAAACGAATGTTCGCGTTGCTGTTGCGGTCGCCACATTTTGAAAACCACCAGTGAAACGAATGTGCGCGGCGCTGCGGCGGTAGCCGCATTTTGAAAACCACTCGCCCTCCATCCGTGAAGCTCTTGCAAAGTTTGAAAACGAATGTGCTCGATGCTAAGGCGAGAGCCACGTTTTGAAAACCACCCGCCCTCAATCCGTGAGGCTCTGGTAAACTTTGACAGCGAATGTGCGCGGCGTTAAGGCGATAACAGCATTTTGAAAACGACCCGCCCTCCATCTGTGAACTGCTGCCAACTTGTTGAGCTTCAGAATCATACATGGTGAAGAGGCGAAGCGCCCAGCCCGCCCTAAAAACTGGCCTCGGGGTGCGACAGGGAGAAGTTACTTATAAGGGTAATGAATGGAGGAGGAGGAGGCGGAGGAGGAGGAGGAGGAGGGCGAGGAGGAGGAGGAGGAGGAAGAGGATGATGATGATGATGATGATGATGATGATGATGCTGCTGCTGCTGCTGCTGATGATGATGATGATGATGATGACGATTATGATGATGATGATGATGATGATGATGATGATGATGATGATGATGATGATGATGATGATGATGATGATGATGATGATGATGATGAGGAGGAGGAGGAGGAGGAGGAGGAGGAGGAGGACCAGTGCAAACCCAAGTGTCCCTAACGATAGCGATGTTGGAATAAGCCCTCGCCAAACGCCCTCTTCGTAGGCCCCTACAGCGGTTCATTTTCACAGAGGGACCTGTCTCGTTGGAAGACAACCGTTTGAAGACTCTGAAGCATGCCAAAACACTGTTCTCGGTATTCCAACGCCAAGGAGAAACCTGCCAACTGCGTCTTGACGATCCTGAATCGCGCCAGAACGCCATTCCTCGGATTTCAAGGCCGCGACTCGTCGTAACTGTTGCGCCCTCATAATCGCGAATCCTTCCAAAACGCTACTTCTGGGTACGCCGATGATGGGAAGCCGTGCAATCCTTGCAATGTTGAAAACGATTTTGCGCGGCGCTCAGGCGAGAGCCACATGTTGAAAAGGAGCAGCCCTCAATCCGTGAAACTCTATCACAGTTTGAAAGCGAATGTGCGCGGCGCTTAGGCGAGAGCCACACTTTGAAAACAACCCGTCCTCAATCAGTGAACGTCTTGGCAAAATTTTAGACGAATGTGCGCGGCGCCGAGGCGAGAGCCACACCTTGAAAACCACCCGCCCTCCATCCGTGAAGCACTTGCACATGTTTGAAACGAATGTGCGCGGCGCTGCGGCGGTAGCCACATTTTGAAAACCACCCGCCCTCCATCCGTGAAGCTCTAGCAAAGTTTGAAAACGAATGTGCTCGACGCTGGCGCGAGAGCCATAGTTTGAAAACCACCTGCCCTCCATCCGTGAAGCTCCTGCACACTTTGAGAACGAATGTGCGCGGCGTTATGGCAAGAGCCACATTTTGAAAACCACCCGCCCTCCCCCGTGAACTCTTGCACATTTCGAAAAGGAATGTGCGCGGCGCTATGGCAAGAGCCAAATTTTGACATCACCCGCCCTCCATCTGTGAAATCGATGCTCCAGGATCTCAGGCGAAACGCCCGGACCGCTCTAAACATTGACCTCGGGGTGCGACAGGGAGAAATTATTCATAAGGAGGAGGAGGAGGAGGAGGAGGAGGAGGAACAGGAGGAGGAGGATGAGGAGGAGGGAGGTTGAGGAGGAGGAGGAGGAGGAGGAGGAGGGGAGGGAGCAGGGAGGGGCAGGAGAGGAGGAGGAGGAGGAGAGGAGGAGAAAGACAGAGGAAGAGAGGACGAGAGAGAGGGAGGGAGGGAGGAGGAGGGAGGGAGGAGGAGGAGGAGAGGAGGAGGAGGAGGAGGAGAGAGAGAGGAGGAGGAGGAGAGGAGGAGGAGAAGGGGGAGGAGGAGTATGAGGAGGAGGGAGGTTGAGGGAGGAGGAGGGAGGAGAGGAGGAGGAGGAGGACGGAGGAGGACGGAGGAGGATGATGGAGGAGGAGAGAGGGATGGTGATGATGATGATGATGATGATGATGATGATGATGCTGATGATGATGATGATGATGATGATGACGATGATGATGATGATGATGATGATGATATGGATGACGATGATTATGCTGATGATGATGATGATGACGATGATGATGATGATGATGAGGATGATGATGATGATGAGGATGAGGATGAGGATGAGGATGATGATGATGATGATGACGATGATGGATGATGATGATGATGATGATGATATGATGATGATGATGATGATGACGATGATGATGATGATGATGATGCTGCTGATGATGATGATGATGCTGATTATGATGATGATGATGATGATGATGATGATGATGATGATGATGATGGTGATGATGATGATGATGATGATGTGATGATGGTGATGGTGATGGTGATGGTGATGGTGCTGCTGCTGCTGCTGCTGATGATGATGATGCTGATGATGATGATGATGATGATGATGATGATGATGACGATGATGATGATGATGATGATGATGATGATGATGATGATGATGATGATGATGAGGAGGAGATGAGGAGGAGGAGGAGAGGAGGAGGAGGAGGAGGAGGAGGAGGAGGGGGTATCCCTTTTGGCTCAAATTCGAAACGCTCCCCTGGCGCTTCGAGCTTGCTCGCAGCCGAGGGGACGGCTCTGCACCTTTCTGCGAGGACAGGCCTCGCGTCTCGGGGCCCCTTCGCCCGTGCCCTCGTTTCGCCTATACCTGGCCCGCGGCGCACCGCCTGGGCTGGGTAAACTGAGGTCTTTCCAGTTCCTGGCCCTGGCGGTGCTGATGTCCCAGACCCGATCTAAGAAGGATGTGCAGGACCTCGCCGCCACCCTGGGGAAGGTTAGCTTCGCGGCTGGCAGTAGCTCTGGGACTGGCATTCGTGGCAAGCGGCAGTTGGGTCGTGGGCGCTCCGATCCTGAAGCCCCTCACCGCAAGATCCAAGCACTTGAAGACCCTGAGCCCGAGTTCCAGGACTGTGGAGATGCAGCAGGTGGAGACCAGGATGCAGTTGGTCCCATTCCTCCCAGCCAGATCGAAGCGTTCCTGGCAGATGAAGCTCTTTGTCCTACCTTCGCCACTCTTGGGACACCTCCTGGACCCCCCCTTCGAGGTGCAGCCGAAAGACACAGTCCTCGTCCCTCTCTTCACGCCCCCGCGGGAGGTTCGGACGAACATCCTGGAGCACGAGCTGCACGCCGCGACCGACCTCAGGATCGCCCCCGTGCCGCATCACCCTCTTAGAATGACCAGCAGCTCCGCATGTATGTGGAAAAGACGAAGATAACGCCATGGCCAGCCTCAGCACCATTCAGCAGAGTTTGGCATCACTATCGGCGACAATGGCAAATCATTGCAAGAGCATCGATCTGGCGGTGGAGAAGCGGACGGCCCATGTGGAGCAACGGGTTGACAATCATGACTCACGACTTGGTGTTCTGCAAAGGAGGTGGTCGGCAGAAAAAAAAAACCCACAGCTCGGCCTGCAGGCGAGAACATGGGCTTCGACCGTGCTATCGACCCCACTATCATCCTGGCGCGTGGTCAGATCCTTCTGGCAAGGGAAGCGGTTCAGGAGGCGATCGCCACGTGGCTCTCGGATGGCAACCTGGAGCCCGGCGATTGGCAGGTGGACGGCGAAGCGGTGTCCAAGAGGTTCTGCATCCAGCTCCGTGGGCAGCGTTCTTACGCTTCCAAGCGGGCTGGGCAAGCCCTCGGTGCTTTGCGGCCCCAGGCCCGTGGTGCGCCCTGGCGGCGGATCTCCGCCCCGTCGCCGGTGGGCGGCCCAGAGGTGGAGATTTCCCTCGGCCCCGACAAGAACCCCAAGATGATCTCCAGGGAGCTGGGCTGCAAAAGGATTGCCAGTATGCTCGTGGAGCCGTGCCCATCCAGGAAATTGTACGTCGACCGCGAGAAGGGTATCATCAGTACTGGCTGGAAAAATTGCTATCCTGCGAGCGTTTCCCTGGAACATCAGAGCCGAGGACGCATTGCAGAGAAGGTGACATCCGCGCGCTGGACATGGACGTGGGTATCATTTGGCAGTCGGTACAGCGCCTCTTCCAGTCGACGGACAATGACCAGTGGTGTCCTTAGCAGTCTGCTGAAGGCTTGGCAGGCAGGGCCGGCCGCCCTCTCATCCATTTCCGTCGCATCTTGGAATGCGAGTGCTTTGCCGCATCATGACTTGCCACTCAGAACGCGGACGGTGGAAGTCATGAGGACCCTCGTTGCCCCTATCACCACTCTGGGCATCCAGGAAGTGTATGGGACACTCGAGGAGGCTGAAGACATGCTGTATCTGATCCATCGTCCAGTTGAGATGTCTCACTTTATTTTTGCAGGGTCAAGAGCGACCCCGCCGCGATTCGCACGAACGCTGGAGGCCTCCTGTCCTTCTTCGCGACGCTGGGCCCTGGCGCTAGATTCCAAGTTCGACAGCTCGTGTGCGGTTGTGTTTTGAACGTTCGGGTTCACTTCGAACCTGTGGTCTCCTGGGTCTCCCACAGGGGTTACCACAACATTGGGCTCCAAGCTGACGTTGGGTCTCGGGTTGTTTCAAAGATAGAACGCGATTTTGAACGGGCCAAGGATATACCTGATCGAGCTCTCGTTGTCTTGGCACGAGATATCCGTTTCAATTCGTCGCCTCCTGTCCCGGCAGTTCCCGAAGCTCAATGTCAACCACGATTCGGATGTCATGAATAGCGGGCCGACTTCGAGGCCCAAAAGGCTGCCCTGGACCCCGGGGCCGCCCAGGGGCTTCCCGAGAACCTTCGGAGGGGGGGGCGGCAGCAGGAGAGAAGATTTCGGAGGGGGGCTGCGATCTGGGCCCCATTCGATCGGCGTCTGCATTTGAGAGGTAGCAAGCTTGGTCCGGAGGCCATTACCAGGGAATGCAGTCTGCCATTGGGGGGCGCTGTTCTGGGGTTTTTGGGAAATGAGAAGATTATGGTGAGCTGCTAATCAATATTTAGGTTGTTTTGGAGGAGAGATGGACTTCCCGGGGGCCCCCCCCACCCCGACTCTCAGATGCTCGCAACCGTCTGGAGCGATTTGGAGATTGCGCCCCTGCGACCGCCTGCGCCAGCCCCGGCCGCAGCAGCTGCTGCCGCGTCAACCGCTGCCCGTGCAGCCGCGGCGTGCCGCGCGGCGCTAGCAGCTGGCGCCTGGCGCTCTGCGCCGTCCGCGCTGCCATCTCGCGCACGTGTGGCGGCCGCAGCTGCGCCCGCTGTCCAGCCGCGGTCCAATCTGGCGAGCGCCGCGCCACTGTGCGCGCTCGCCCCTCATCCGCGCGCCGCCCTCGTCGGCAAAATGTAGCCCACGCCCGCGCTTACCCAGTGCGGCTAGTCAAAACATATTTAAATAGTAATACAACGAATAAGACGACTGTTAAGCATAACAATAGTGCGACTGATATTATTAATAATAATAATAGTAATACTACTACTACTACTACTAATAATAATAATAATAATAATACTAGTAGTAATAATACTAATACTAATAATAACAATATTAATAATAATAATAATGATAATACTAATAATAATATTAATAATAATAATAATTATTATAATAATAATAATAACAACAATAATAATAATAATAATAATAATAATAATAATAATAGTAATAGTAATAGTAATAATAATAAGAATAAGAGGCATGCTAATAATGATAATAATAATCATAACACTAATATTACGAAGTATAAGGAGAATATTAAGAAACATAAGCAATACAAAAACACAGGAGGAGGAGGAGGAGGAGGAGGAGGAGGAGGAGGAGGAGGAAAAGGGAGGAGGAGAGGTGAGGGAAGAGGGAGGCGCAGTGAGGAGGAGGGAAGGGCAGGGAGGAGGAGGGAAGTGGAGGAGGGAGGAGGGAGGAGGAGGGAGGAGGAGGGAGGAGGAGGAGCGAGAAGCAGGGAGAAGGAGGAGAGGGGGGAGGGGGGAGGGATGAAGGGGGAGCGCGTGGCCAGGGGGGATGGAGGAACAAGGGCAGCGGGGGGAGGACCGTGCAGACGGCCACTGGAGGCTGCCCGCGGCGAGGCGCTAAGTGCCCCCCGCCTGGGAGCCCGCCGAGGCCGTCGTGCTGCTATTGCCAGCGACCCCGGCCGGGGGCCACTGCCTGCAGTGCGTGCGGCGGGGTCGTCGCAAAGTGCCTGCCCTCCTCGGCCCCGCCCATCCGCGCGCCCGGCCTCTCTCTCTCTTTCTCTCTCGGCGGGCGCGCCCTGGGCCCCAGCCGCTCGGCGAGTGCAGGGGCGGAGGGGAGGGATTTGATTGATGGGGACTGAACGGTCTTACAGTGGGGCCGAGGTGCGAGAACGAGGTGCAATAACGCCGTCGGTTCGGAGAGGGTACCCCAATGTTCTTCGTGTTCGTTGGATGCTTGTGCATCCTGGGGAAGGGCACCCTCAAGTGTTCTTCAGTTTGGGCGGGCGGAGGGCCTCATGTTCTTGACGGATGCTCTTCTGGCCTAGGTCCGACTGTGTACCATCCCTGGGTGCGTCGGTGAAGTGAGATTCTGTAGCCCAGAATCATTGTTGATCCCCCCGGGTATCGCATGTGTTTGTTTTTCAATTGAAGTGCCACCTTCGGAGCTCGCATTCTGTTTTGATTGAGTCGCTTCGCTCATTCCGCTGGCCCATATTGCGCGCCGTTGTCTACTGACCGAGTGGTCTTTCGCAGTGCGGAACTGCAAGGGCGGCGACTGTTTTTATCAAGCTTTGCGTTCGGCATGTGAGGCTTCTTGGTGGCCGCTGGGGGAGTCTTGAACGCGTCGCGGGCCGTCCGGAAGCGTTTTGCCTATGGCGACTCTTTCGGTCAGAGACTTTTTTCCTCCGCTGTTACTCTCAACGAGTTGTGAACACAAACAAATCATGATGTCCGCCTGGGCCCCCGTTGGATGAGCGGAGATGCGAGCGCAGTGGCGCGCGCGGTCGCGCGCGACCCGCCGCTGGTAATAACGTGAATGCGCGGGCGTCGCGGCGACGACGACGGCGACGGCGACGACGACGGCGGCGCCTGCGCCGACGGTGACGTCGACGGCGGCAACGGCGACGGTGGCGACGACGAACATCGCGGCGATGGCGGCGATGGGGCCCCGGCCCACGGGCGAACTTGCGCCCCGCCCTCGCTCCTGGAGTCCCGGGCCAGATTTCATGGGCGGAGCGAAACTTCTGCGCGCAATTATACCCCAGCCGTTCCTCCACTTTACTAAGCTCTCTTGTCGCTTTAGACAAAGTTTGTTCGGAATGTTTCGAGCGGCGCGCCTTTACTAGAGCCGTTGCTTCGCTTTAGTAATACCGTTTTTTCGTTTTAGTTCAGCCGTATCCTCGCTTTAGTAAAGTCCGCGGTTTGCCTCAATAAAGCCCTGGGGATGCGGTGGCGATGCGGGGCCAGGGCCCGGTCAGGGGGCGGGGGGCCCATGTTTTTCCTGCCGGTTCACCCCGCGATGCATTTTCTCGAGTAGTCAGGGTCGCGTTGCATCGGGTCGCGGCGACCCATGGACATGTTTTACGCGAGTTGTATATGCTACTTGACAGAAGATTCACGGCGCGAGCGCAGGACGCGGCTCGGCATTTCGGACGCGCTGCCGCGGTTGTCGCACAACAGAGCAACAACACTTTATTAGAAGGTTTGTTCACTTTAGCAAATAGCTCCTTCGAGGTAATCGTGTGAACTTACCGTGTCTAATTCGGGTTGCCTCTTGGAGGCCTCGTGGGGACTCTTAAACGCGTCGGGTCGTTGGTACTTGCTTGCGTGCTCGGGGGGGCATTTGGGCGGCCTCTTGGGCACGTTTGGGGGCCTGTTGGGGGCTTCCTGAGGGCCTGTTCGGGGCCTTTTGGGGCCTCTTAGGGGCGGCTCGTAATGTTGTTTCGTGTGTATCGAGGGGGTGCAGGGCCCGCCCTGGGTCGCTCCTGCGCCCCTGGCGCGGCCGCGAGGTTGACGACGAGGTCTTCGTGCAGACCTGGATCCCGAGCAACCTGGACCAGGCGGCAGCCACGCGCAGAGGGGGGTTAGGGGGAGTGGGAGAGCTTCTTTAAAACACCCCTGCTTCTTAGAAGGCGCGGGCCTTATCTATAGATGTAGGGCCGGCGCCTTCTAAGAAGTGTCCTATTTTTAAGAAAAACCGTCCCCCTCCTCCTACCCCATTGTGCGCGCCGCCAGCAGACGGGCGCACGGTGGAACTCCCAGGGCATCGGGCAGTCAGCCGAGGAAGAAAAAGGGAGGAGGGGAGGGGATCTGCGTGGAGGAGGAGAAGGAGCAGAAGGCGGATGATGATGATGATGATGATGATGATGATGATGATGATGATGATGATGATGATGATGGTGATGATGATGATGGTGACGCTGCTGATGATGATGAAGATGTAGAAAATGATGATGATGCTGCTGATGGTGATGATGATGAAGATGTTGATGATGATGATGACGACGATGACGATTATGATACTGATGATGATGATGATGATGATGATGATGGTGATGATGCTGCTGCTGATGATGACGATGCTGCTGATGGTGATGATGATGCTGATGATGCTGATGAGGATGATGCTGATGATGCTGATGATGATGATGCTGAGGATGATGATGCTGATGATGATGATGCTGATGATGATGCTGATGGTGATGATGATGATGATGCTGATGATGCTGATGATGATGAAGATGATGATGCTGGTGATGATGATGATGCTGATGATGATGACGATGACGATGACGATGATGATGATGCTGATGCTGATGATGCTGATGCTGATGCTGATGATGCTGATGCTGATGATGCTGATGATGATGATGATGATGATGGTGATGATGATGATGATGATGCTGATGCTGAGATGATGATGATGATGATGATGATGATGATGATTGATGATGATGCTGACGACGATGATGATGATGATGATGATGATGATGATGATGATGATGATGATGGTGATGATGATAATGATGAGATGATGATGATGATGATGATGATGATGATGATGATGGTGCTGATGATGATGATGCTGATGATGCTGCTGATGATGATGATGATGATGATGATGATGATGATGATGATGTTGATGCTGCTGCTGCTGATGATGATGATGATGACGATGACGATGGCGATGATGATGATGATGCTGATGATGATGATGATGATGATGATGATGATGATGATGATGATGATGATGATGATGATGATGATGAGATGATGATGATGATGAGGAGGAGGAGGAGGAGGAGGAGGAGGAGGAGGAGGAGGAGGAGGAGGAGGTGGAGGAGGAGGGAGGTGGAGGAGGAGGAGGAGGAGGAGGAGGAGGAGGAGGAGGAGGAGGAGGAGGAGGAGGAGGAGGAGGAGGAGAGAGGAGGAGGAGGAGGAGGAGGAGGAGGAGGAGGAGGAGGAGGAGAGGAGGAGGAGGAGGAGGAGGAGGAGGAGGAGGAGGAGGGAGGAGGAGGAGGAGGAGGAGGAGGAGGAGGAGGAGGAGGAGGATGAGGATGAGGATTTCTTACACCAATGCGAATGCAGCCCGCGTGCACTCCGAGAAAAGGGCGGGCCTCTAGGGGGTTACAATGAATTCATAACTGCGCAGTAACTCAGAGGAGCCAGAAGGCTCCAGCTACTCCACAGGTGCGAAACGGCACGTGCACAGCAGCTCGCACCCAGCCAGATTAGGCGGGCAAGAGAAAAACAGCACGAGAGAGAACGAGAAGGTTGCCAGGTACCACCATGGGTGACGGGGTCTCGGCGAGCGCCGCATTGGACTCAGCGATTCGCCCGAGGTGAAGCCGATGGCCCTCACGGATCGACCCCAGACCCCGACGTTTTTGGGCAGCCCGTCCCTCGAAAACTCACAGTTCGCGAGAGAAAACAGCACAAACACAGAGGGAAGGAGGCCAGCTGCCACAATAGGACGTCGAGGGCCTCAGAACTGCTGTGGACTCGGCGGTTCGCACGAGATTGGGCCGACCGTCCTCACGGGTCGACCCTCGGCCGCCGACGCCCCTGCGCAGCCCTCCCCTCCGAGCTTCACAGCGCACGACAAGAGCAGCGCTGGCGGCGCAGAGGCAGCACAGGAGCGCGCCCCTCACAGGAGGGCCGCTCGTGGTCGCAGCTCGCCAGACCATCTCAACCCGAAGGCCCCGATCTGCCCTCCGTTTCCGGTGGGTGTGTGTCGGGGAACATTGAAAACACACGTGTGGAACCCGTCCCTCCCCCCCAACCCGAAATTCGGGTCTTCGGGTCAGGTTGGGATGGTCTGGTAGGTAGTCAGGTGGGTGCTGCCAGGCCTGGGCGCCCGACAGACAGAGGCACACAGACAATACACATCTGTTGGACCGCTCAGCAGCCCAGGAGTCCATGACCGCAGGGGAAAACCAGCAACGACATCAGTCCGAGCCCGACTCGTGGCCTCCCTCCACCATGGTCGGCAGCGCGGCTCGAGCTGGCATCCGAGGCGGTCGAGAGGAGGCGCAGAGAGGCCGCCACAACCCTCAGCTCTCGGGGTTGCTCCTCCACCTCCGGGTGGGGAGGGGAGGCTCAGAGGTCCACCTCCTGATCCTCCTCCTCCAGATTGTCGGCCCATGGCCCGACGTTGACACTAACGACTGGGTGCTTGGGGCATCGTCCCAGAGCAATTTGCCTCCACGCGTGCTTGCGCCCTTGCTCTCCGAGACAGAGAGGGTGCCCGTACACGGTCCTGAGGCCACGAGCTTGGCTCCCACGTGTACAACTCTTGCATCCCAAGCAGATTAATACGAAATTGTCAACAGTAGCATCAAGGAAAGCATGCTGCGCACCAGCGCAGGATGCCTAGGAGCATTTAGGCATACCCCGACAGCAGGCTGGTCCTGCGATCGAGAACCTTGAAAGCAAACGTGACGCTGCCAAACACGTCCAGCTCGCTCCCAAACGTGACCCTGGCGAGGCGGCCTGCTCGCGCCTAGTCCAGGCTGGGGGGGTGGCGGCACTCTGACCACGTCTGGTCCTGTCCCATGTCGAGCCTGGGCCAGAGTGGAGGCAACTTTGCTGCGAGAGTAGCTCATGCCGACGAAACTTTGCTCTGACCGTTTGAGAGCTTCTCTAGCCTCTGGGTCGAACTCAGGATGGAGCTCGACCGCGTTCTTAGCTGAGCGGTCGACAGCGCAGTTGCCTTGGCGCAACTATCACGCCCAATCATCTTCGCCTTCGACCCCAAACAGGGTGAGCCCGCACTTTCGAAACCGCACGCTGACGAGAGAACGGCCTGCAGAATTGGGGAACACAAGCAGGGGCGCGCTTGGGGGAATACTGACAAAAGAAATGCGTATTATGAAAGTCAGCGCAGTTCTGGCAACCCAGGAACAATGGTCGAGGGACCCACCGACCACCGTTGCGCCCCACTGTAGGCGAACAACTCAGCAGCCTGTGGGGTCTGGGGGGCGGGTGTCCAGAGGGGCCCTCGGACCCTAGCCTCCTCGAGACCTACAGGTCTATTCCGAACCGAGAACGGCCAGCCATCCCGATGAAGCTCCGAGACCAGTCTCCTCATGCAGGACCCGTCTGCAACGATATCTCCTTGAGCGGGAGCAGATACGTCCCAATATCTCAGCACGAGTCCACTCAACATACATGCCTCCAGAGTTTGCTGGCGCAGAAAGTCGCTCCCCAGGATGAGGAACAGCTCCGTGGCAAGCTAGGGCATCACCAGCAGCGGCAGCAGGCAGGCCTGCGATCATCAGGCTTGATTCATACCTCGCGCTCATCTTCGATCGCGGTGCAATCCCGCAGCCTGTGCCTTAATGCACTGGTCGCAGAGCTCCGAGATATAATGACCTAAGCTGACGGCACGAACTCGGAGATACATTGCAATGCGAAAGTGGGCCTGGATGCAGCCATGCTGGAAGGGGTGAATTTACGGGGCCGAAGGGCTTGCGTGACGCCGCCAACACAAGCTCGAGACGACGTGTTTCGACAGGCCCCCGTGTCCTGTCCCAGTCCAAGCCGCGGAAAACGTTCTTTTTCCCTACCTAGGCTCTGCCTAGAAGGGTTCTTACTCGGTGTGCTTAAAAGGGCCGGGCAGTGGGGCCCACCCCGGGCGGTTCCCCCAGTATCCGCCCCGCGGTTCCCCCAGTTACGTCCTTTTAGCTTAGCGTTGGTTATATCATCTTAGCTTAGCTAATTTCATCTTAGCTTAGCTTAGGTTCATCTTAGCTCAGGTTTACCTTAGCTAGCTTACCTTCATCTTAGCTTCGCTGAGCTTTAACATAGCAGAGCACAGCATAGCATAGCATAGCGTAGCGTAGCATAGCGCAGCACAGCATATCATAGCAACGCCCAGCATAGCACAGCATAGCGCAGCGTAGCATAGCATATCACAGTACATCATATCATAGCATAGCATAGCATAGCGCAGCTTAGCATAGCATAACCTCGCATAGCATAGCTTAGCATAACACAGCGCAGCATGACAGCACAGCTTAGCATATCATATCATAGTATAGCATATCATAGCATATCATATTATAGCACAGCATCGCATAGCATAACGTAGCACAGCATAGCATAGCATAACATAGCATATCATAGCATAGCATAGCATAGCATAGCATAACATATCATGGCATCACATAGCATAGCATAGCAATTATTGCTGCTTTCCTAGGGGGCTCCAACTTCTGGGTAGGGTCGCACTGGGGTAATTTGTTTTTTCTTTATGCTTCCTTTTTGTTATATCTACATTATATGTACATCTAACAAGAAGAGAGTTTTGATCAAACAAGACGAGAACTCAGTAATCTTCACAACTTGTCCTTGATCCCTAAGAATCTCCGCGGATGAGGGCGAGACGCACGAGATGCGCTCACAGCTCTCTCGGAGGGCCGCCGCGGGGCCAGCCGCGCGTCGCCGCGGCGGGGATTTCACCGCCGACGCTGGTCGCCCGGGCTTCCCGAAGCTCCGCAGGAGGCACAGAATGGGGGTAACAGTGCATACACATTGTTCATGTCTAATTCTTCGAGAG